AACAACAACAACAACCCTAACCCCCTAGATGGCCACTCTGGAGGAATCCTGCAACCCTTTGTCACATTAACATATCAAAGCGAGCAGCTGACAGAATTTACTAAGCAATCTGAACTCCACCAAAGAATCACAGCATCCCCTATCCCTCCCCTCACCAGAACAGACAGAAAGCAGCGCCAGATGGGGTGTGTGTACATATAGGTGTAGGTGTAGGGATGTATGTGTGAGTTTGTGTCTGTGTTTGTGAGTGTACACATATGTGAGAGTTTTCCTACAATAAAGAAAGACATGAAAAGTGCTTTCAACCCCATCTTTCCTTGTGACAGCTAAGCAGCAAAGGCTGTTTGCTTAGTGATTTTAATCTATGATAAAAATCAGCTGCAGTAGAAGGGTTACAAGGAGCAACAATGAAGAATGAGGTAGGAGGGAGAACTGGGGAAAGTGGTATTACTGACGTACAGAGCCATTTGTGTGATTCTATATAGCTCGAGCTAGAAGGTTGGGCAATCCTACTTCCGTAGTGATACTGCCTCGGAAACCTAAGGAGGGGTTGCTATAAGTCGGGGCCGACTCGACGGCACATAACAACAACAACAACAGAGTTAAATTAGAATCCGTCAGTCTTCTCACTGCTGCATGTTAGGAATAAAAAGCATGCAACAAGCCTCACTTGCTGTGCAGTGCTCTGCTTCTGGCTACACTGGTGTTCATGCATAGTTTCCAAGAAGGTTTTACTGGGGTGGTTACCACGCCCAACCATAGCAGTTATTCACTGCTACAAAGCAGTTGTATTAAAAGAGGTTAAAATCAAAAGGTGATGGGAACAGAGCAGAGGATGCCTGGAAATGTTCTCTTGCTCTCATGAAAGAAGATGGAGAAGAAAATTACTAACAAGAAATCACTAGGTAAAGCTGATCCCATACCAAATACTGAAATATGAGCTAATTAGTTCTGAGTACTCAATGTGTTTGAGAAAAAGTATTTCCTACTGTGGTGGAGTTAATTCTGATTCATAATTACCCAACAGACCAGAGTAGAACTGCCCCACAGGGTTTCCAAGGCTGTAAACCTTTACAGATGCATACTGCCACACTCCTTTCAGTTAGTAGCCATGTGCTCTAACCGTTGAACCATCAGGGCTCCGTGGAAGAAAAGAAAATGTCATCAAAATAGCAATAATGAATACTTACTGTTTACTGTGTGGCACTTCACCATAGTAAGTCTCTGAGGTGGGGGCTGATTTTTCCTGATTTTACAGAGATTAATTTGCCCAGGGTCACAGCTTATAGTGTAGTGGTAGGACTGGACTGATTTCTGATTCCAAAATTATTATCCACCAAAATAGTCTCCAAGTGTAGTCTACAGACTACCAGAATCATATCACCTGAGGGGTCCGCTGAAATGCTCCTTCCTGGGCCCCGCTTCAGGACAACTGAATCAGACTCTAAAGGGAAGGCCCAGAAATCGGAATTTTAAAATTTCGCTAAAAGAGTTTTAAGTCTTCTGGTGAATCTCCTCATGACCTTATTCTGTGAATGTTGGGTCATTAGGGACTTTGTAGAGTAGGTGCAAAGCAGTGAATCAAGTCATTCACAGTTTTGCATACTTGACAGCAAAAGAAAATTATTTTTCCCTAATGTCTCAGTGTCACCAAGCCCACGTTTGGCCCTGGGAAAAGGCCAGTGAAATTACATAATGATTTTAACTGTGATATACTACCATACCAGAGGGGCAATCTGTCAACCCTATACCACTCAGGGACTCCACAGATAATACAGTGGTTCTCATATCAGAGGATCCATGTTAATCCTCTGGTCCCTTCAGATGGTCTATGGGCTGGTTTAATCACTGATCTATGACCTCTTATTGTCCTCCAGCAGTTTGCAGTGAAAAACAGCAGCTTCTTGGGTTCATGGCCTCAGTGGCAGTTGGACTAGACCAAACACTTGAAGATCATGGCTAAAATAGGAATAGACATAAGTCCCTCAAGGATCCTGGGATACAAGATCAACAGAAGTCCTTGAAGATAAAAATAGGAGAGAAAAAGACCTACTCAGAAGTAGAATGTAAAAGTCAATATTCTAAGTAATTGGAATTTCTGTTCCAGGTATTTATAGGTTTAAATTTACAAGTGATCCTCAGTGATGAGGTAGGAGGGAGAACTGGGGAAAGTGGTATTACTGACGTGTCTCAGTGTCTAGCACATTGCCTTGCCCACACTCATTGCTTAATAAATGCTTGATTAAAAATGGGGCAAGGAACAAAAAGAAAATTCTGTGTTAATTACCTCAATACTTTCTCTCACAGTAATTTTAGTAGACAAATAGATTTTAATAAAACCTGGACAGAGGGAAATAGTAGGCTTCTCGGCAAAAGTACATGTCCATAATTAGTGGTGCAATCGTCAAAGCACTTAGCTGACAACTGATTCCCATGTGGCAGTTCTACTCTGTTCTATAGGGTCACTATGAGTCTAAATCAGCTCAACAGCAATGGATTTGGTTTGCATTTGGTGGGTTTTTATTTTGTTATGCCAATGTAGAAACACCACTGAAGATGATGTCATGTTTTCTGGAGACTGGACCACTATCTGGAGCTCATAGTTTTGACCTGTGTTTGCTTCATGCTATGTAACCAAAACAGAAGTATTCACTGAAAGACATATTTAAAGCATTTTAAACTTCTATCTTCTAGTTGTGACTAAAGATTATCCTGCCCCATTTCCAGTTATGACTAGGGTTATCCTGGTAATTTCCTGAATCTGAAGGAAAAAATGCAAAGTGGGCTTAGATGAACAGAAGGCAGTAGAGTTGAGCAGAAACACTGTAGCCTAATCCTTATCACCTCCCAAGAATCCACAGGCACCTAGCCCATCTGTGAATGAGTGAAGCAGAACTGTCACTAAACCCTGTTCACAGAGGGAAAAACAGCAACAATAAAAGGAAGGTGTCTGGTCTGTGATGTCAGGCTACAATATGTCAGAAACATCAGTGTCTACTAAGTAATCGTATAGCCAGCTTTCACTAATTTATGCTGCAACAACAAACACAAATCTCAGTGGATTGTGACAATGACGGTTTATTCCTCACTCACATGCTTGACAGCAGTAGGTCAGCTACTCCAAGTTGTCTTCATTGAGGCTCCCAAATTGAAGGAGCTGCCCCTACCTGGGGAAGGCTCTTCTCAAGGACAAGGGAATGAACAAAACAGCCAAAACATCACAACAGCTCTTAAAACTTCTGCTTGAACATGGATTATATCATTTCTGCTCACCTTCCATTGACCAAAGCAAGTCCATGGCTAAGCCCACTCTCCATTAGGGCAGGGAAGTGAGCTCCATCTACAGTGAGGCACTGGATTTCACATGGTTGTGCACAGAAAAAAACTGTCATTGCCAAGTTGATTCCACCTCAGAGTGACCCTATAAACCAAACCATACCAAACTCACTGGCGTCAAGATGGATCCAACTCATAGCCTTGGGTTTCCAAGGCAATATCTCTATGGAAGTAGATTGCCCAATCTTCCTTCTGAGGAGTGGCTGGTGGGTTTGAACCACCAGCCTTCTGGTTAGCAGTCAAATGCCTCAAGCACTATGGCAGTGACCCTATAGGACAGACTAAAACTGCCCCATAGGATTTCCAAGGTTGTAAATCTTTATAGAAGTAGACTGCCACATCTTTCTCCCACAGAGCAAGTGGTGAGTTCAAACCACCTACCTTTTGTTTAGCTGGGAAGGATGGTGCATAATCTTCTTACAGGAAGGGGAGTAAATAAATGAGAACCAGAGTATACTCTGTGACAGGAATCAGAATAATTAATATTTCTTATTGAAGAAAATATTGCCTGAGCTCTTTTGTTGTTGTTGTTATGTGCCATCAAGTCGGCCCCGACTCATAGCGACCCCTTCTTGGGTTTCCGAGGCAGTATCATTATGGAAGTGATTGCCCCATCTTCCTTCCAAGGAGTGGCTGGTGAGTTTGAACTGCCAGCCTTCTGGTTACCAGTCAAGTGCCTTAGCCACTATGCTACCAGAGATGACCTTTTTTGCTTCAGAATCTAATAGCCAAGCAGGTTTTTAATTGCTTTGTAGTTTTTTGTCATTGCTCCCACACTGTCGAGACACAGCTCTAACTGATTTCCTCTGATCAAACTGCCTCACTCACCATGTAGGGAAAGAGTTCCATTCCTCACAGCTAGGAACTTGACTCCATATGGAAAGAAGGGGGTAGAGTGGGCACTCCCATAGAGTTTGATCCAAGCTTTGCCTTGGAAGGGTTTGTCCTCAGATCCAATGCGGAGCTCTCCACCGTCAGACACAAGGATGGAATGGGCCCTGAGCTCAATGGGTCCTGGATCCATGAAAAGCAGCTTGCCTCCTAATAATCAAAAGGAAGATTGTCAGTCTCTGAGAGGATGAGCTCACCTCCTGAAAGGTCCAAAGTCTACTGAAATGCTCTTCATTTTATACTTCTGCTGGGATTTAAACGCATTTTATCTTGGCCTTTCTTCGAAAAGCACTATAGGGTAGATCAGACACATAGAAATAGAAGCACTCTATTATTGAGTAAGCTTTGGTTAGCTACCAAGTATGGGTACTCTCACAACATGCCTTCCTTCCCAAAGTGTTCCTGATGATAATAAAAGGAACATTACAAGGAAATCCTCTTTTGCTCAGAAATCATATATATTAGTCCCCCAAACACAACACACCAAAATGTAGTCGGACTATGTGTTCTCTTTCCCTTGGACTTCACAGTCAAATAAATTCAACTTTTATTCTTCTCTGATAAGGACATAAAATAGAATGTGGAATAAGAGATGTGAAGGCTTCTATGTTTACCATTCAGCAACAGAGAAAAATGCTTATAAAATTAAGTAGGGAAAAAAATCTAGGAAGCGATTATGCAATAAATAGGGATAGAAGAAAATGTAGCAAAATTGTAAGAATTATGACAAAAGGTGGTGTAATGATGGGCTAACATCATGGCATTTGTAGCAGTTGAGTTGACCAGCATCCATTGAACTTCTTTAAATAATAGACCCTAATTACCTTGAAGAATTGCTTTGCTCCACTGAACACAGCTGAGTGAGACTGTCAATACAGGGGCCTTGTGCTACCATAGTCTGGGTCACACACCCAGGCTCCAGATGGAAAACTGGAGCAAAAGATTGAAAAGGCTTAGATCTCATTAATTCCCGCGGTGTCATCATGAATCTAGGAAAAGTTCCTGCTTCTGAAACACCCACCAGCACCCCCCTTTAAAGTAGAGAAGTGTATTTCTATGCCTGGTTTATTGGACTTCCTGTTGCTTCTGTAAGCTACCCAATGCCTCTCCAATAAGTTTCCTTTTTTTCAAGGAAAGTTGTTTTCTGTTTATTGTAACCAAATAACCTGAAATGATATAGATACTATTTTGCACTAAAGTCCAATTTTTCTGTAACAGGAATATTATATCAAAAAATTATTTTTAAATAATGAGAGTAAATGATATAGTAAGAAAATATTTTCCTCTTTATAACACCTTTATTCAAAAAGATTTAGAAATTTACATTTCACAAAGATTTTCTCAATAACACCAGAATAATCAAAGCATCTCAGATAAATAAACACTTTACCTGGATAAGCAAGTCTCAATTTTCTCCTTCCTATAAGTGGTTTAGCATAGTGGCTAAGACACTTGCCTGCTAACCAGACGGCTGGCGGTTCAAACCCACCAGCCACTCCTCGGAAGGAAGGTTGGGCAATCCTACTTCCGTAGTGATACTGCCTCGGAAACCCAAGGAGGGGTCGCTATGAGTCGGGTTTGACTCGACGGCACATAACAACAAGAACATAAGTGGTTTACAAAAGCACCAGGCTAGACCTTCCACCCTACAGCAAAATTCTCAGAGTTGTGACTTTATAACAGAGACATCAGGATTCCGAAAAAGCCTAAAGAGTACAGTTCTCAGACCAGGTCCCAGTTTAGGTTAGCTCAAGGTCCGTATCATTGATGTTTTGGTTTAATACATGGGTATTACTCTAATCTGGTTTAAATACCTGAGTTTCCTACACACACAAACACACACACATTTTCTCAGAGAGGAAGTTGCTATTACACTTAATCTATAAACCCAGATGTTGTCTCAGTGATCAGAAAGTAGACAAAGGATGTGGAGAAAGCAAAACATCAGAAATGGCTCCAGAAACAGTTCTACTGTCTTGGTGAGGGGCAGTAGAGATCAAAAACTCTTAGCCTACTAAATGTAATCCTAAATCCAATGTGCCAAATTATCAAGTTGGATTGTTGTTACCTTCCAGAAATCACAACTGAAAGTAGTTAAATGTGTTCTTAAGGAATGAGAAGAGAGAAGAAAAAGGCTAAAAGCCCTTCAGTCATTTTTGCTTGCCTCCATCTTAGTACAGAGATAATGATCAATAAATGTTTGACCCAATAGTCAGATTTGGAGGCCACTTTTTCCCTGACCTGTTCTAAAATTTCTCTTCAGCTTTCTTCAGCCCTTTTCATCAAACTCTTCAGTCTTTGATCCTAAAGCCCAAACCATACACCATCAATATCAACCATAGGATGTTTACTTAAATGGTCTGTGCTTCACTTCTAACCTAAAAGTTAGTAGTTCAAACCCACTCAATGGTGCCACAGAAGAAAGGCCTGGCAATCTGCTTCTTATAGCAAGAAAAGTCTATGGAGCAGTTCTACTCTGTATCATTTGGGGTCACCGTGAGTCAGAAAGGACTTGATAGCCATAGGTTTGTGCTTTGTTTTTTTCCTTTCAGTCACAATTTAGACACACCCTACCTGGCTATCCAGTTTCTCTATTTGTAAAATGTGGATGGTAAGAGCGCCTCCCTCAAAGAATTACAGTAACTTAGGGAAATCATGTTTGTAAATCCGAGGCATAGAGTTTGACATCTATTGTGCATTCAATGCAAACGTGAATGCTGCTATCTCAGACTCATCCTCATCATTTCCACTATCAATTTCTCTGGTTGCTCCATTGCGTCAGCACTACGAGACCATTTAATTCTAACATCTCACTGTTGCTAATCCTGACTTTTCTTCTGAAACATGGCATATACATCATACTCAAAGGTAAACTATGCAAGAAGTGAAAGAACCATCCTTTGGTAATTTATAGACTTAATGCCAGAGTAGCACCACACTATTTACCAGGCATTCAATGGCCCACTAGTGATATATATATATTTTTTTACTTTAATCTTCCCCTCCATTGTCAGTATACACAGAAATGCAATAATAGTCATCAATCCTGCTGTGAACAAGAAGTAAGAAAAGTGACCTGTACTGCAGGACTAACTATACTGGTTTTTTTTTGTTTTGTTTTGTTAATCTTTTTCACTCACAGCTACATAATATTTGTGTCCCAGGTAATTACCTTCAACTCATGAACCATGGATTTGCATGGCAAGATTCCCTCATTATAAATACTCAGGAATCTGAACTGACCCGATGAGCAAGCAGTGGAGACAAGTTCCCTCCCCTGACTCTGCTATTGACCTATGACTGATCCTCATTAAATGCCGTAAAAAGTCTGGACTTCAGGTTACCCTGGTCTGAAATCTGTCCTACTTAGAGCCTACTGATGGTCTCATTCATAAAGTGGAGAGTAGAACGGCATGTTCATTGAGGCACCTTCCAGCTCTAGAATACTTTGACAACTATTCCTTTAAAAATTCAGTCAGCAAACACTTGAAGGAATAAGTCACTGGGCTGGGGGGCTCAGGACCATAGCTTAGGGGACATTAAAGTCAATTGGCACAACATAATCCAGAAAGAAAATGTTCTATATCCAACTTTGGCAGGTAGTAACTGAGGTCTAAAAAGCTTATGAGTGGTCATCTAAAGTGCAACTACTGATCTCTCTATGTCCAGAACAAAGAAGACTGAAAAAAATTCAAAGACACATGGGACCAAATAATCCAAAGGACTAATGGACCACACAAACCTCAGCCTCCATGACCCTGAAACCAGAAGAACTAGATGGTGCCTGGCTACCACACCTGATCATTCTGAAAGGGATCACATTAGAAGGTCCTGCATAGAGTGGGAGAAATATGTGGAACAAAAATCAAAATCTTAAAGACCAGACTTGGTGGTTGGGCAGAGACTGGTAGAACCCCTTTAACTACATAAGAGGAAGAGAGAATCACCATCAGCAGCCCAAGGCCTGTTCTCCTGAGGCCAGACATGCTGCCACCCTCCAACATTCTTACTAACCTTGGCACCAACCGTTCCTCCCACAGCACCCACCACCTCTCTGCTGGGTTTAATAATTCACTGTAGTGACCACACAGAACTCACAGATTATGGGGTTTATTAGGGAAGCAACAGGCTATAATTCAAGTTCAGGAACATGCTCAGTCTCTCTCAGCCCGCTGTCTCTCTCAGCCCACTGTGTCTCTCAGCCAGCCAACTCTCTCAGTCTCTCTCAGCTGGCTAGCTCTCTCTCAGCAGTCTCTCTCACATATCTCTCTTCAGCAATGCATCTTTCTCACGTTTCTCTCTCCAGCAGCACATCTCTCTCAGCTGGAAGTCAGAGAGACTCCTGTTGCCTCTGTTGTTGTTGTTTTGTCGTCAAGTCAGACCTGACTCATAGCAACCCCTCCTTGGGTTTCTGAGGCAGTATCACTACAGAAGTAGACTGCCCCATCCTCCTTCCGAGGAGTGGCTGGTGGGTTTGAACTGCCAGCCTTCTGGTTAGCAGTCAAGTGCCTTAGGCACTAAGCTACCAGAGCTCCTCCTGCTGCCTCTAGGAGGGTTCATTTTGAGACTGGCAGAAACTAACCAATCCCATCAGAATTCTACACACCTGAGAGAGAGTGAACTTCCAAGAAGATTGTTTTGTGCTGGTCCAACAGAAATACACCAGGTGGATAACTTTAACAATCAGCTACTCAGTTGTTCATGGCAAAGTGGAAGTTACAAAGACTATGGCTAGAAAACCCATACCATGTAATTTAATACACCCCAGGCCATCCCCTGGCTTTTCTAGCCATTATTGCTTTTAGGCTTCAAAAATTAACATCCCCTTCACCATCAGTTTGCAAATAACCACAACCATGAAAGCAGTAAGCCAGCCACTTCATGCCTTTATTTCCCTATTTTTAAGATAGCCAATTTCTAATTTGCCCATCTCCATCAAACCAGTGCTCTGAGGAGAAAAGCATGTTTCTTTCTCTCTGGAGAATCTTCTGCTCTGCTTGGGAACTTTGGGCATCTGCATCTGTAAATAAGCAAAGTCCAACCCAGCTCAAGCCATGAAATTGCAGGAACTTGACACCAGCTCAGTGTCAAACATTTTCCTTTCCATTTGGTTGGGTTCTGATGACCTCAGCCCTAGCAATCCCAGCTAG